CTACTAGATGTCATACATATTGATGGAAATTGTAGTCTCTTCCCTTTAACATTCGCAGTGGTTGAGTCTGAAAATAATGAGTCTTGTTTATGATTTCTACAATAATTATATGGTCTAGTTGAGCCAGTTTGATTCCATGTAAACCTTTGCATAATATCAAGTAGGCATCAATGGCTACTTAGAGGATGTCGAGAGTCATTTTCTTGGGTTGCACATAGGCATTGTTTGTGACATCTAAAGAAAATACCGTGTTGTCTCGCCATTGCTAATGTTGATATTGTCTTGTGATAGAATGTAACGGGCAAGAAACACTTATGAAGAACGTAAGTTCAATAAACACATGAATGAGATAAAGAATATTAAAAAAAATGTGTTTGATTGGTTCGCCGAGCAGGATATTACAAAATAGTCATTAGTGCGTAATGACAGGTATAGATTTGGTATTTTGATAATAAATGCTTCTGAATATTTTAATGGAGTTCTAAGACGTACCCGACGCCTCACGATACAAGGTATAATATGTTCAATTTATTACAATTTAGTTATTTTATTTCTAAAATATCCTAGCAAAGTTTCATAATGTTTTAAATCAGATAATATAATTTTTGTTTCTTGCGTACAAGTGCAGCTTTGCAAGGAATGTAAAATAAAACATATCACTATGGTATACATGTTTGCATTATACCATAGTGGACATGTAAAATAAAACATATCACCCTAAGTTGGCGGCGAGGGTAGTGGACGATGGCTGGGCAATAGTTCGAGGGATTGATTGGAGGAGATGGGAGCAATAGGAGGCTGGAATGAGGGTAAAACAATCGGTCGGTTGCTACGAGGTTGATGCCAGCAACTGGACACAGACTTAGGGGCAACGACAAAGGAGAATAGGGATTAGACTGCTAAAAGCATTAGAATTCGGTCAACTCTAACATGCAGACGTGCGACCTGCTTCAGCTCTCTCGCATGCGTTCCCTTCCTCACATCGCCTTGCTCGGCCTCCACACTAGTCGCTCTTCGTCACCTTCATCTCGCCTCCTCTGCTCACGACGATGTTATCAGTGGCCATGGCTGGCTCGGGTGAAACCCTAGCGTCATGTTTCTGCTCGACAAAAGCCTCCTCTCGCACAAACACACGAACTCAAACCGTCGCCTCAACATGTCCCTTGACTGTTAGGTAAGTAATACTTGCCTTTCACAAACGCACGAACTCAACTCGTAATACTTGCCTTTACCACGTCATTATATAGGCGAACTTGTCTCATTAGCTTTGATCCTCTTGTTTCCTCTCCTACCTTTTGGCTGTCCTCGACTCCTCGTTTCATCTTTTTCGATTTCTTAGAGTCTTGGATTCCTTTCATGTGGTAGAAAAAATGAGGCATTACACGTTCGACTCCACTTTAGCTTTTCACCATTTGACATGCTCGTTGGCTGCTAGGCTCATGCGCTTGCTTGCCCTAACTATTGATTGTCGACTCAGTATGTCACCAACACTTTTTATTGCTCAGCCTCTTACACAAGCACTCATCTCCCGCACGTGACTTCTGTCTCCTATGGCTTTGTCTCTCTTGTGCATTACTTGTCTCTGTTTAGCTTGAGATGAATCCCAAAATATCATTTTGTGTTCTAAGTAATAGAGTTGGCTCCTCCGTTCTTTTGAATCGTTGTAGCCGGTTCAGAAATCCATGTATATATTGTATATATTATATAAAAATCGGTTCTCAAAACACCACTTATATACGTCTTTCTTGATGTGGTGATTTAGTAATCTTGAAGGCGCTCCTTACATGGAGAAGACACTAGGAGACTATGGAAATTTAGACTGATAGAACCTCAATTGAACATAAAGTTAAAAAAAAAATGAGAAAAAAACCCCAAAATAAGTACTCACAAGTGTTGTTTTGTTGTGATGGGGAATCTCGTATTCAATATTTTTCATACATTTAAACGCAAACTCTGGTGTTATTTGGTATCATTATTTGATGTCTTCTCGTTTTGCAGAATGTTTGATGTTGGTTGTATATATGGAAGAAATAATGACCGTGATAGATTCGGATTTTTTTGTCACGCTGCTCTTGAGTTTCTTCATCATAGTGGATTTTGTCCTGTAAGTCCTTTTCTCTCTTCTTAATTATCAGAAGATTATAGTCTCGATTTCATTCTGTTAATTATAAGATACTAAACCTTAGGTTTCTGAGATTATGAAATTTACTGCAATGACAACCAAGTGCCTTTAAGTATATCCTTGAACTAACATATTAGTCCAGTTCAAGTCTGTTTAACATCTACTGTAACTAAACGAGCTTCAATTGGTATTAAATTTATCTTAACTTGTTACTCTGGCATGTTTCTTAAAGTTTTTAGTGAACTATATATCTTAGGGGCATTTAGATACAGACCATCTAATTCCTATGTATTTTCATATCTAACACCTAAACTTATTACATTTATACCCCCCAAATATTTCATATCATATAAAAAATACCACATTTTGAACTTTTAAAAAGTGAATACACTCTTACTTGGATAAGCATGATGGCATGTACGCAAATATTGTAGTTTAGGTCTTAGATATGTAAATATATAAGAACTGAGTGGTCTGTATGTAAATCTCTCTATAGCTTGTTGCATGAACGTATATTACATTGAAACATTCCATAACATATAACTTTTTTGCAGGATATTCTGCATTGCCATGATTGGTCCAGCGCCCCAGTGGCATGGTTATTCAAGGAACATTATTATAAGCAATCTGGGCTGGGCAGCACTGGAGTTATTTTTACTATTCATAACCTTGAGTTTGGAGCACATCAGATTGGAAAAGCAATGAGTTATACTGACAAGGCTACCACGGTTAGTACCTACCTTTTGTGAGGTTTTCCTTGAATTTAATTCAAAGTTCGTTTACATTGATATTTATTTCAAGTGCAAACCATTTGATTAATTATCCCTCCTGCTCAAGGGAAATCATTTCTCATATAAAGAGGTTTAGGCTAATATTTTTTTGCTCAAATTTGGTAGTTGTATGAGAATTTTAATTGAATGGGGAATGATTGTGGTGTGAAGGTAGAGCCGATTAAGATTGCTTCTTTTTTTCATCCCTGATAAACTTATTAGCATTCATGGGTTGTCTCTTCTCTGATATCTCAAGTAGACTTAAGTGGATCAAAATAAAGATCATAAGTTGTCATAAGTTATGACATAAGTTATGAGTTAAGAAAATAAATAACTTAAGTTATCAAAATAAATATCATAAGGTGTCATAATTTATGACATAAGATATGAGTTAAGAAAATAAATAAGTTAAGAAAATAAATAACTTAAATTATCAAAATAAATCTCATAAGTTATTAAATAAATGTGAGTCAAATAAAAATATAACAAAAAAGTCATGCTCTGTGCCTCTAGCCTATCAATGAAAATCATACAGCCAACCCGTTACCATGAATAATTCAATATCAATCTCAAAGTACATCTTCGACGCAGACATAACTTAAGTTATTAATTATCTTAACTCATAACTTATGTCATAACTTATGATAACTTATGATATTAATTTTTTAACTCATGTAATTCCTAAAATGAATAAGAGTTACTAACTTATATCTTTGATTTTAATAATAAAAGATCAATTAATTTATTACATTATCATAAATCCTATTGGTTTGTAACCCCCTTATTTAGAGAATTGGTCATCTCTTTTCCTAACACACTCCGTACATTTCTCTCAATCAGAAAGTACAGAAAGTTTCAAGGGATTAGAGAGAGAAACTCCATCTCTTTAAGATCAAATTTCTTTAAGATCAAATTTCTTTAAGATAAAATTTTATCATTATTATGAATACATGTATGTGTTACTTTATTATGGATATGTAAAAATCATGAATTTAAAAGATCTTGGCTATTATGTATTTTTTGGAATTTGTGTCATAAAGTTTAAACATGCATTTCTAATATGTGGTATCAGAGACTTGATTACTAAATTTATGATTTTTTATATAATTTTATTTTTTTTAATTGTATTAAATTTTCGCTGTGAATTAGATCTTGAATTAGATCACTAATACTAAAGTAAATTGATGTGATTGACATTATTATTTATTTGATGTCTATGTTATTTTTAATTTGTTAGTCACCAAAGTGACCAAATTAATAAGTTTAATATACGTCAAATTAAATAAATTCAATTACTCACGAGTATGTGATGCTTGTTATGAAATAATTTAACATTTTATTATGAAAATATTAAAATTCATTGATTATAAAATATTTCTAAATTGCCCAAAAGTTGATCATTTGTTTTATAATTTTTGAATATAATTGTATTCTATTTATATACTTAGTCAAGATATGTTTATATATCTAAAGATAATAGACATGTTTAATTTGAGTATAAACAATTACCAATTATATTAAATTTAAGTCAAACATCAGTAAGTCAAACATCAATTATGATTATTATCGTGTATTGTTATATCACCCAAATGAGATTTGAATACACTATTATTATTATGATTATTTTTTTAATCTGATTTTATATGAATATCTAAGTTCGTTTAATGTTCGAAGTATTAATGTACCAGCATGTTTTATTTATTTGCAGTAACTACTCATGTTTCTCTTGATTCACAAGCTACATCTGTTCAAACTTTCAATAAGCTTAATTTCTCTGAATGACGTGAGCAAGTCAAGTTTCAACTTGGTGTTCTGGATCTTGATTTGACACTCACGACTGAGAAATTCTCTGCTCTTGCTGATTCTAGCAGTACTGAGCAAATATCTTTCTATAAAGCTTGAGAAAAATCAAACAGATTAAGTTTAATATTTATGCGAATGACTGTAGTAAACAACATAAAGTGCATATTTTTTAACACTGAAAGTGCTAAGGAATTTATGAAATTTACTGAGAATTGTTCTCAGTCTAACTCTGCTGATAAGTCTCTTGTTGGGGCATTATTGAGTACGTTAACCAACATGAAATTTGATGGTTCTCGTACTATGCATGAGCATGTCATTGAAATGACGAACATAACAACAAGATTTAAGACCCTGGGAATGAAATTGAATGAAAATTTCTTTGTACAATTTATCATTAACTCATTGCCTCCTGAGTATGATCCATTTTACATGAACTACAACATTATGAAAGATAAACGAAATATAGATGAACTACAATTTATACTCATTTAAGAGGAAGCAAGACTTAAGAAAGGAGCAAATCGCTCCATTAATCTCATGGGTCACCAAAGAAGAACTGTAAGGAAAACTGGAAAGAAGAATGGAAAGAGCAAGTAAGGACCACTAAAGATTATTGTGTCATCTGTCCCAATTCATAAAGAGGAACATAAAGGAATTAAGTGCCACTTTTGCAAAAAGTTTGGACACTATAAAAATGAGTGTCAAAAGCGCAAAGACTGGTTCGAAAAAAAAGATAAAGCTTGTGTTTCTGTATGTTTCGAATCAAATTTGACAGAAATTCTTTATAATACCTGGTGGATTGATTCTGGTTGTACCACTCATGTTTCTAATACGATACAGAGATTCCTTACAACCCAAATAATAAACACAAATGAAAAGTTTGTCTCCATGGGAAACCGAGTCAAAACGCCTGTTGAAACTATTAGAACCTATCAGTTGATTTTAGATACTGGACATCATTTAGACTTTTTTCAAATACTTTGTCCCTTCTGTTTCTCGTAATTTGATTTCGTTGTCTAAACTTGATTCTATTGGATACTCCTTTAAATTTGAAAATGGTTGTTTCTGTTTGTTTAAATACAATCATCTCACAGGTTCTGGTATTCTTTGTGATGACCTATGTAAGCTTAAACTTGATAACCTTTTCTCTGAGACTTTGATGACTTTGCATCATAATATTGGTACTAAACGTGGTTTTATGAATGAAAGTTTAGCTTATTTGTGGCATAAACGTTTGGGTCATATATCCCAAAAAAAAATTGAAAGATTAGTAAAAAATAAAATTCTTAATGAATTAGATTTTACTGATCTTAGCATATGTGTGAATTGTATTAAAGGAAAACACACAAATCACACACTTAAGAAAACCGCCACAAGAAGCACACAGCTCTTTGAAATTATACACACTGATATTTGTGGATCTTTTGATGTTCCATCTTTTGGTGGAAATAAATATTTTATCACATTTATTGATGATTTTTCACTTTATGGGTATGTTTACTTATTGCATCAAAAATATCAAGTTATAGATGCCTTAAAGGTGTATATAATTGAGGTTGAGAGACAATTAGACAAAAAAATGAAAATTATCAGGTTTGTAGAGACGGTGAATATTATGGATCTTACAATGAATCTGGATAATGTCCAGATTTATTTGCTAAATTTCTTCAAACTAATGACATATGCGCTTAATATACTATGCCAGGAACACCACAACAAAATGGTGTTGCAGAAAAGTGAAATCGTACTATAATGAAAATGGTTAGGAGTATGATCAGTAATTCCTCTTTACCCTCATCATTGTGGATGCATGCTTTAAGGACTGCTGCATATTTATTAAATAGGATTCCTAGTAAGGCAGTTCCAAAGACTCTTTTTAAACTGTGGACAGGAAGGAAACCTAGTTTAAGGCACCTGCGTGTTTGGGGTTGCCCAGCGGAAATAAGGTTATATAATTCACATGAAAAAAAATCGGACTCAAGAATAACCAGTGGTTTCTTCATTGATTATCCAGAAAAATCTAAAGGGTATAGATTTTATTGTCTTAACCATAGTATAAGAATTATTGAAGCTGGAAATGCCAAGTTCATTGAAAATGGTAAAGTTAGTGAGAGTTTGAAACCACATAAAATGGAGATCCAAGAAATTAGGGTTCAAGTTCCTTTACCCAAAATTTATTCTCAGGTTGTTATTCGTACAGTTGTTGAACAGTTTGACAACTTACAAGAACAACAAATATATGATCAAATACCCCATAATGAAACTGTCACTAATGAATCTACATTAGATGAACCACATGAAGTAGTACCTAGAAAGTCTCAATGACAAAAACGGTATGCTATTTCCGATGATTATGTGGTTTATCTACATGAATCTGAATTTGACTTAGGAGTCAATGAAGATCCAGTCTCATTTTCACAAGCCCATAAAAAGTGCAAATTCTTCTAAATAGTTAGATGCAATGAAAGATGAGTTGAAATCGATGGATCACAACAAAGTCTGAGATATAGTTGAATTTCTTGAAGATTGTAAAAGAGTCGGGTGTAAATGAGTCTTTAAGACTAAATGCGACTCGAATGACAATATTGAACAATATAAAACCAGACTTATTGTCAATGGTTTCACTCAGAAAGATGACATCGACTATAAAGAAACATTTTCTCCGTTTCTAAGAAAGATTCATTTAGAATTATCATGACACTAGTAGCTAATTATGATTTAGAGTTATACCAAATATATGTGAAAACTGCGTTTTTGAATGAGAATTTAGATGAAGAGGTTTACATGAGTCAATTTGAAGGATTTTTGATTGAAGGAAAGGAACACATGGTGTGTAAACTTAAGAAATCAATATACGGACTTAAACAAGCTTCCCGACAATGGTATCTTAAGTTCAATGATACTATCACGTTCTTTGGATTTAAAGAAAACACTGTTGATTGGTGTATATATCTAAAGGTCAGTGGGAGTAAAATCATATTTCTCATTTTTTATGTTGATGACAACTTGCTGGCTACTAATGATCTTAGCTTATTATATGAAACTAAGAATTTTTTTTCTAAGAACTTTGAAATGAAAGATATGAGTGAGGCATCCTATGTGATTGAAATATTTCGTGATAGATCACAAGGTTTGTTAGGAATATCTCAGAAAAC